CCCCAAAACCCCAAAACCCCAAAACCCCGAACTATGAAAAATTTATTGAAAATGGAAAATAAGATAAAATCTCCAAGGGTGAAGACCTTAAAAGCATCTAGCATGAAGCTAAGAGAGTTAAAGGTACGTCCAACTTTACTTGAAAGATCTCTCATCTGAAGAAACTAGAAGAGTGAAAATCTCTGAGCATTTTAGTATCAAAACTAAGTAAAGGATTGTTTATAATAGAAAACTGTTTTCTACCTTTTGCCAAACTCTGGAAAGGTAAATTTCAACGAAGATAATTACTCAGTGCTATTATGGCCATTTCTTCGATATAAATGATGACTGTTGGTCAAATTTCCTTGTCCATGCTCCTTCGATCTATTAAGAAAGCGATCTAATGTTGGCTAGTTTATCTCTTCTTACATAACTAGGGACTAATTGTTTGAGAACTCACAAAGGAAAATTGGCATTTTAGATAGAGATATAACTTAGGTCAATAATATATTTAATCAAAGAGTCCAAATATGGAAGGAACTCTTACCAATCTCAGTGAGCTATTACTTGCTTAAAAATCTCTCTGAAAAGACTTATTAGGCCTCATTAGACTTAACCTGGAGAAAATTTTAACATATTTTGGAAAAGTTACTGGAAACTGAACTTAATTTAGGGTAAGCAAAAGAAAGCTGGCAATAAACGAGTAAATATGAGCGTCTCTTTTGCCTCAAGATCTGGAAGGAGGTGAATAGGCAACGTTAAACCTATAACTAAGTAAGTCTTATAATATATCTTTCTCGATTATCCTGATTGAAGTGGTTTATCTTATTTTATAGGAAGAGAATTGGGTGCAAAAGTCCACCTCCCATTTCTTTGACTTCGAGAATGAAGCTATTTAAAATGAACACAACTGTACTTGCAAGGAGAAATTTAAATAATTTTGGAGCGAGGCTTACCTCTCCAGCTCAAAAAGAAAAGAGTTCCAAAATACCATCTTTTTCATGTGAAAATAAGAAAAAGACTGCAAACTATAAGAGTAAGAGGAGAGCTCTCCAAAGACCTCTGGACATTCTCAAGAATAAAGTCAAATCTCTTTCTCCCTTCCAAAGAAAGATAATCCAGTCAGCTTACCTTCATTCAATTGAATTAAAGAGTAAGGTAATGAAGAAGACTGAAAAGAGCAGTAAAAGTTCGGGTAATGAAGAATTCGGGCATCTAGGTAAGTTATTATTATCCTAGCCTTGTGAATCTCAAACTGGGACTCAAACTCTACATTTCTCTATTTGACCAAGCTCCGGACCCTGTAGCTTTTAGGCTCATTTCTAGTCCAAAGTGTTAATATTATAAGTTATTCGTTACATTTTCTAACTTTTCTGATAAAGGGAAATAGAAATTACAACTTATCTAGTCATTAAATTTTTGAAAGAAACTCATAATTTACCGTATCTTTAAAAGTAATATCTATTCCATAACTCATAAGCATTTCTTACCATAACTATAGCCCCTGCGATCAGTAGGTTTAACGATCTAACCAGGAAGGTAATGGATGCCAAATGCGCTTCAGGGCCTTGTAAATCCTCCTTCGTACTGAACAAAAAGTTAGAGACAATCAAACTTATCAAAGAGAGGTAAGAATAACTGTGTAGCTTCCTAACCTCACTTTAGGATTTGACTATTTGATAAACAGACAAGAGCCTTCAGCTGTGACACAGATAATGAATTTACTGCCTAGAGAGCCCCCAGGCTGCTAATAACTTTGTTGATGCAATTTTATACCTAAACTGCTTTTATTGGTTTATGGGTCTTAAGTTGGTTTACCGATGCCAGAAATTTCAGCGAAGATTCTTCCTTTTTAAATATTTATTCCCCACGCTGCGGGCTTTGGTGTCATGAAGAAGAGATTTTTCTTAAAAGAGCATTGGAATACCAGTCAGCATGGCTCTTTTAGTTTTCTGCGTTAAAAGTATTTTGAAATTCTTTGATAGTGTGTATCAAACTTGAGTTTAGCTTAAGAATTTTGGAAGAAAATAGGTACTTGGCTGGGTTTTTATGAATTTGGCAGGTTGAAAAAGTTAGATTTTTGGGAATTTTTTTGGAATTTTGAGTGGAAATTTTGAGTGGAAATTTTTTTATTGGATAGTTGGATGGGAGGTTTTGGGAAAATGGGTTTAAGGGAAGGAGGTTTGGGGTTTGGAGGTTTGGGGATTTTGAGAGTGTTTGGGAAGAGAGGTGGGGGAATAAGGGAAGAGAGGTGGGGGAATAAGGGAAGAGTGGGGTTATTGGATGTGATGATGATGAATTATAGATGTTGGGAGGGGTGTTTTAGGGTTATTAGAGAATATTTCTTATTGTAGTAAGGAAAGAAGAGCATTATTGCACAGAAAAGTGACGATCCTCGCTTCAAAGCTATGAGTCTTAATTATTATTATTACAGATCTTTTTATATAATATTAACTTCTCGCCCATATCCAATGCGCTTCGTCTCTCCTTTCTCTCAAAATTTTCAACTCGCAACCATAAAATTTCTGCAAAATTTATTTCAAAATAACAATTTTTCAATTTTCCAAAAACCCTCTACTTCCTCTCCCTCCAACAAACCCTATTACCACCTCCTAACGTCCATATCTCTTGATCTAACCTTCTCTCTCCCAAAAAACTCCTCCTCCTTCCCCTTTCAATCCAAATTCTTCATAAAGGGGTTTTGGGGTTTTGGGGTTTTGGGGTTTTGGGG